AGGTCCTCCACAGAGATACAAGGAAGGAGAGCAGAGGTCCTCCACAGAGATACAAGGAAGGAGAGCAGAGGTCCTCCACAGAGATACGAGGGCGGAGAGCAGAGGTCCACCACAGAGATACGAGGGCAGAGAGCAGAGGTCCACCATAGAGATGCGAAGGCGGAGAGCAGAGATCCACCATAGAGATGCAAGAGCAGAGAGCAGAGGTCCACCATCATCAAAATGAGACCCAAGACGAAAACCAGCACCAGAGGAAATCGGGATATTGACCGAAGGAGCCACAGGCATTCACGACCAGCTGCACCTGTGAGCAGCACCTGCAGTACTGGTGCTGAGGAAGTGGACATAGGATAGATCTCAGCAGACTGCACCTAATATACCCTGCTAGACCTGCTTATGTACATATGGTTTAAAATATCTGAAATTGCCACAGAATGAAACAAGACATTGTCACATACGCTTCCAGGGGTTTACTTCAAATAGTCCCTTGTATGCATCAGCCACAAAGAGAGTCCTGTTGGGCCCGGCCCGGATGCCCAGGGGTCTTCCGCAATCAGGCTCATCATCTCGAGTTTCTAGGAAAACAAACATATGGGAATTAGGCTGCTCCAAGGCTCTGCTGTGCCCTTCTCAGAGCGCAAGAACTCAGCCACCCCTTCCTAAACACACATGAGCTCTACAGAACAAGAAAGATCACGTCAGGCTAGAAATGCCCCTCTAAGTTTTCACTGTAGGGCGCTCCAGGTAGATGCTTGCTGCAGGGCGCTTCAGGGAAATGCTGGCTGCAGGGTGCTCCAGGGAGGTGCTGGCTGCAGGTAGGTACTTCAGGGTGCTTTCTGTAAGGTGCTTCAGGTAGGTGTTAGCTGTAGGTAGGTACTTTAGGGTGCTCGTTGCAGGGTGATCCAGGTAGCTGCTTGCTGCAGGGGGCTCAATGTAGGGTGCTTGTTGAAGGTTGCTCTGTGCAGAGCTCCCTGAAGGCACTTACTCCAAGTACAGGTGTCATAGGTGCTCACTGGGAGATGCTTGCTAAGGGGGTTTGGTGCAGGGTACTTACCACCAAAATAGAGTGGAGAAGGCAGGTTAAAGAACCAAATGTAGCACGTTAATCCACCACATGAATCTGTGCAGGGGGGAGGGGGTGTGAACGCGCCCGTGAACAGAAGGATGTCTGTACAATGTTTTTGAGAGGACTCAGAGGTGGTTTTACTTTCTCCTTTGGACTTTCATGTTGTTTGTGTTTTACAGTAAAAATGCAAGATTTTTAAACAGGTAAAGCATCCCTTCCCCAAAATGCTTGGGACCAGAAGTGCTTCAGATTCCAGATTTTTCATATTTCAGAATATTTACAAAGACATAATGAAATATCTTGGGGGTAGGACCCAAGTCTAAACGTGAAATGTGTCTTATGTTTCACATGCGCCTTGCCTGAAGGTAATGTTATATGGTATCTTTGTCTGGCAGAATTCTGACTGCGACCTTTCACAAGAGACCAGCTGTGGGATTCTCCACTTGGGACATCATGTCGGTACTCAGAGTTTCCACTTCTGGGGAACTTCTGACTTCAGGTTTTTAGATTAGGGATGCTTACCCTATAAAAAACACTCTACCTATTAAAATATAAAATGTGATGAGCCATGGACTACCACTTTAAAACAGATTTTTCTACTCTAGTTTTGCAAACTCTGAATGACTTCTGAATTTTCTTTCCTTTTTTTTTTTTTTTTAAAGTTTTTGCCATGACGTGCACGCACTTGCCAGAGAGAAACAGAAAGGGAAAGTGAAATATCACCTCCCCGACGGATAGCCATGCCCCAAACCCTTCTCCTCCACTCTCCTCTTGGGATTGCTGGCACATATACACACACACATGCGCCCTGCATGATTTTCAAGCCGTTAGGTCCAAGATTGGAACCATGTGGGCCGTGTGGGAATCTAGCATCTTAACTATCACGCTGCTGCTGGCCCCTGGCTTCTGGTATTTTCATTTCGAAAGCCATGGCTGAAATTCCTGAGATGATCACGCAGGAATCACATTCAAGCATCCAGTATTGATAAAGCCACCGGCCTTTCCACCCACACCTCAACAATACCCATGACCCTCTGAGTTCACCAAGAAGGGCCTGAGTGGAGTGGCAAGGGGTTGGGGTCCCTGAAGTGCAGAGCCGGTGCTGTGGCCACTGCCATGGAAAACTGCTTCTATGGGGTGACCACCTGGGACTGTGAGGTCCAGGGACGACCTGGCACATGAAGAGCTCATGGCAACACCCTCAACCTGCCAGGGTCAAGGGTTCTTTTCTCCAAAAATTGAAATACTCCTAGGGAAAAGTAGTTCCACACAGCAGTCCAACAAGTAAGAGAGATATCCATGGGGTAGGGGATCATCACAACTTACTGCACGGGCCTGAACCAAACCGGGCGACGGTCTCTACTTCGCCATTTTCAAGTTTTACGACCCGGCCATCCGCTGTTCCAGTAAACATCACATCTGTTTAGAAGAACATAAAAGAAAAAGGGCATTGAAGGGCTCCCATACAAACGGCATCCACCCACCATCTACAAAGGGGGTTGTACGGCTTCCAGTCTCCAGGGAGGAATGGCAGCTCTAAAGACAAAGGAGAAGTAGAGTCTGGGAAGAAATATGAGTACGAGGGCCTGGGAAATCAGCGCACAGCCCAGACCCTGACTCGAGCCAGGGTGCGGCAGCTGCGAGTCTGTGAGGGCAACGGTGAACACTTTCTCCCATCCAGACTTCCAAGAGTGACGCTCAGCAACTGGGGGCACATTGTCACATTTAACTCTCGTCGGTTCCAGCTGCTGACAGTGACTATATCCTACTAAAGGAAGAGTCCTACTGGGATCTAACGAGGGCTTGTTACGAGCAGCACCAGCACGTCTACGAAAATCAAAACATAAAGAGAAAATCAGCATGGCCCTGGAGCAAGAGGGATACGCAAATTCAGGGAAAGTCCCACAGTTTTTAAATGTATATTGCAAACTCTGGGATGACTACCACAAAAATCTAAAACAAAGTTTAACTGATAGGCTAAGAAGGAGAAAAAAATGGAATCATTACCAAAGGCTCAACTGCTTAATTTAAAACTACAAACAGAAAAAGAAATAGAAACAAACACAAGGGTAAAGAAAACATTAACAATACAGTAAATACTAAGCCAGGATAACCACTCCTCACTTAAACACCTGCCTGTGTGGACTTCTGACCAGTTCTCCAGCACAGGGAACCCCCTTCTCAGACTGGGCCTTGTCCCCACAGTAGGTTACTGTTCACTGCATGAAGGTCCCGGTCACGCGGGACTGCACATTTCACGTAGAAAGCTGAACTTCACCGTGCGTCCACACTAGTATTCAGAACACAGGAAAATGACTGCACCTTGTCACTTCCTGGAGCTTCTCTAACACACATTAGGTGTAGATGGAATTATACATTATTCTAGTGTGGTGTCGTGTGACATCTATTGAAAAATACATACCCCACAGTGCCACAACGCACAAGACATCTGCCTTTAAGCTCCTTGCTTACTGACTGGAACTCAGTCATTAAGTGAGGAATGCTGTAATCAATAATCAGTTTAACATCAATGGCCTAAATATGCCAATTAAAAGACAGACATTGTCAGAGTGGACTGAAATACAAGACCCGAGTATATGCTATGTATATGAAATTCACATAAAGACATATATAAATTTAAACTAAAGAGATGAAGGAAAAAATACTATGTTAACACTGACAGAAAGCAGGATACTGATTTCAGACACAGCGGAACTCAGAGCAAGGAAATTTATCAGGGACAGGGAGGCACCACATAATGATGGAAGGGTCAAGTCTCCAAAGACATGACCTAACCCTCACAAGGGTCAAAATACGTGAGGCAAAAACTGATAGAATTGCAAGGAAAAATAGATTCTGCTAAAAGAGACTTCAATACCCCTCTACTAGAAACAAACCACCTAGCAAGTAGAAAACCAGAAAAACACACAGAAGTTGGACTCAACAGCACCATCAATCAACTGGCTATGATTGATATCTATCAACCACTCCATCCAACAATGGTAAAGAACACATTCTTCTCAAGTCCGCAAGGAATATTTGATAAATAGGAGTCATATAATGTGGGGCCAGCAGGTGGGGTGGTGGTTAAGGTGCTGGACTCCCATGTGGCCAATTGGGATTTGAGCCCCAAACATGGCAGCTTGCTTTCTCACTTTTTCATTTCTCTCTTTCTCACAGCCTCTCTCTGATGAGCACATGGGACCTATAGCAAATTTTAAAATAATAATTAATAAAATTAAATGAACAAAAAAAAAAAAACAATGTATGTGCTCAAATTACAATAGGATAAAACTAGAAACCAATAACAGAAAGATAGCTGAAATATCCCCAAATTCCTGATGCTCAGCAACTGGGGGCATTAAACAATATACTTCTAAACAAGGTATGGAGCTGTTTAAACTATTTTGGCCTAAAACAGCTGCTGTACTCCCATACTTAGATTCCTATGGATAGGCTGAAATCATACATTTTAGGCTGTTTTCCTGAGCTGGTTGCTAAGTTACAGCCACTCACACTAGTCGCACTTAAGTCAATCACAGAAGCCCACCTTTTGGGCGGCCTACTGTCCAGTTGTGACCAATCCAATTGTTTCTCTACCTTATTCCTGCACTTTCGTTTTTGTACAGCATTTTCCCTTTTCCAGAACTTAAATATCAAGTCGACCACAAGGCTAGCCAGAGTTGCCCAGAAGTCCAGGGACAACTGTCCAATTTAAATTGTGTTAAAATATGCTCGAAGGACCAGCAGTTGGTATAATGGCTGGACTCCCACATAGTTGACTGCAGTTCAAGTCCCGCACCCAGTGGCTTAAACTCACACCAGGCACATGTGCGTGCGTGCCCAAGATCTCGAGAGGAGAATGGAGGAGAAGGGATTGCGGCATGGCCATCCCCCCGGGGGGTGATTTCTCGCTTTCTATCTCTCTGTCTCTCTCTGTCTGTCTGTTGAGCGCATGCGCCCTATAGCAAAATTCTGAAGAAAAAAGTTAACGAATTAAATAAATGGGAAGACATTCCACGTTCATGGATAGGAAGACTCAATAATATGAAGATGTCATTCTTCCAACTTGTTCTATAGACTCAATGCAATCCAATCAAAATCCCAGCCTGATATGTCAAGAAGAGAAAGAAAATGTCATCATTATCCAATGCTCAATTTAAAAGTACACACACAGGGACCAGCAGTTAGCGTAATGGCTATGTCGCTGGACTCCCATGTAGTTGACCGCAGTTTGCGTCCCAGACCCGGTGGCTTAAGTCTCACGCCAGGCACGTGTGCATGCATGCCCAAGATCCCAAGAGGAGAATGGAGGAGAAGGGACTGAGGTGTGGCCATCCCTCCCCCCTGGGGGGTGATTTCGCACTGTCTATCTGTCTGGCGAGCCCACGCACCCTGTAGCAAAAACCTCTTCAAAAAAAAAAAAAAAAAAACGTACACACACACACATACACAGACAAAGATGGAAGGCAAAACAGAAATAAAAGGACAAAGAAAACAGTAACAATACAGTAGAAATTAATCCAATACAGCCACTCCTCACTCCTGTTTAATGATCAGTTCTCCAGTGCAGGGAATCCCCTTTCTCAGTCTGTGTGAGTCTCGAGAATCCCCTTTTTTGAGTCTTTGTCTCATTTATTTTGTAGACATCGACAAAATTATCCTAAAGTTTATAAGGAAGAAGACAAAGACCCCAAAAGCCAACACAATGTTGAAGAAAAAGTATGAAGTCAGAGAACTGATATTACCCAACTTTAAGACTCACTATAAAGCTATTATAATCAAGAAAATGTGGTATTAGCAAAAGAACAAACAGATCAATGGACCAGAATAAAGAGGCCAAAAATAAACCCACATAATCAACTTATCTTCGATAAATGAGCGAAAGCAATGCAACAGAAAAAATGTAATGTTTTCCACAAATGGTGCTAGAACAAAGAGACACACACATCCAAAAGATGAATGTGGATACCTTACACCCTTCACAAAAAGTAACTCAACATGATCACAGAATTAAATGTAAAATGCAAAACTATAAACTATCTTCCATGGAACATAACACAGAAGAAAAGCTAGGTGACCTTGGATATAATGATGACATTTTAGATGCAACATACCAAAGGCAAGATCCATGAAGAAATCATTGGTAACCTGGAGTTTATTCAAATTAAATAATTCTGCTCTGCAAAAGACACTGTCAAGAGAGTGAGAAGATAAACCACAGACTGGGAGAAAATATTTGCAAGACTATCTGATAAAGGACTGTTATTTGAACTACACAAAGAAAGCTTAAAACGCAACAATAACAAAATGAGCAACCCACTTATAAAATTGGGCAAAAGAGGTAAACACATGCTTCACCAAATAAAACATACAGTTTTCTAGTAAGCACACAAAAAGATGTACATCATATGGAAAGATGTATATTATATGTTATCAAACCATGCAAACTAAAACAACAGAAAGATAGATGCCCCACTATATTCCTTCCACAATGGTCAAAACCCAAAAACCTGGCAGGAATAAACACTGGCCAGGAGGGCCAGCAAATGGTGTGGCGATTAGGGCGCTGGACTCCCACATGGTTGACCACGGTTCGAGTCCTAGACTTATTTTCTCACTTTCCCTCTCCCTCTCAGTTTCTCTCTGGCGAAATTAAAAGATAATAATAAAAAAATCAAAATAATTTTTAAAAAATAAAGGCAAGGATGTGATCAGGAACTCTCTTTCATTGACAATGGAAATGCAAAATGGTACAACCAGTTTGGAAGGCAGTGTGTCTGCTGCTGCTTCTTTTTTTTTTTTTTTTTGAGAGGTTTTTGCGATAGGGTGCATGCGCTCGCCAGAAAGACAAAGAGAGACAGAGAGATAGAAAGCGAGAAATCACCCCCCCTGGGGGGATAGCCATGCCACAATCCTTTCTCCTCCATTCTCCTCTCGGGATCTTGGACACGCACACACACGTGCCTGGTGTGAGTTTAATCCACCGGTCTGGGACTTGAACCACAGTCGGCTACATGGGAGTTCAGCAACATAGCCATTATACTAACTGCTGGTCTCCGTGGCTGCTTCTTACTAAATTAAACTTACTGGTAGCTTACAATCTAGCAATCATGCTCCTTGGTATTTACCCAAATGAGTTGAAAACTTAAGTCTACCCAAAAACCTGCAAACAGACATAGTTTATTCATAACTGCCTGAAGTTGGAAACCACATGTCCTTCAGCAGGTGCGTGGACAGACAGCAGCACTTCCTCAGGATGAAATACTAGTCAGTGCCAAAAAAGAAATGAGCTATCAAGCCAGGAAAAGACAGGGGAACCTCAAAGGCATATTACTAAGTGAATTATGGCAATCCGAAAAGGCTACACACTGTGAGATTCCAACTACATGAAATTCTGGAAAAGGCGAAACTACAGAGACAATATAGAACTCTGAGGTCATCCTCAGTTAATGGGGAGGAAGAGATGAACAGGTAGCGCACTAAGGATTTTCTGGCAACAGAACGTCCCTGTATGGTACTGTAATGGTGGGTACACATCACCCAACATTCACCCAACCCTGTAGAATGCACACCCCCAAGGGGTGTGCCCAGCACAGGTGCTCTGCCTGCTGTCAAGGGTGAACCTAACATAAACTACAGATGCTGGGTGTTAAGGGTCTGTGTGAGCTCATCGGCTATAACCAAGGCACCCTCTGGTGGGGGTGTTGGTAACGGGAGAAGCAATGAATGAGTACAAATGAGCAAAATCCAACACTGATTCGCCTTAAAAACTCTTTCACAGAAAATCTCTACTCAAGGGAACCAGCAGTTAACGTAATGGCTATGTCGCTGGACTCCCACGTAGTCGACCGCGGTTCGCGTCCCGGACCCAGTGGCTTAAAACTCACGCCGGGCGTGTGTGCATGCGTGCCCAAGATCCTGAGAGGAGAATGGAGGAGAAGGGATTGAGGCGTGACCATCCCCCCTGGGGGGGGTGATTTCTCACTTTCTGTCCCTCTGTCTCTCTCTGTCTGGCGAGCGCACGCGCCCTATAGCGAAAACCTCTCCAAAAAACAAAAAAAAAAATCTCTGCTCAAAATCAAATTGACCTTCTACTCAATTTTGCTGTGAACCTAAAAACTGCTCTTAAAAATAAAATCTACTGAAAAACAACTTCAATAATGTACCTTAATTGGCATCATTAAAGTGCTAGCTCTCTCCTGAGGTTAGGACCTCCCTCTGCTGCCTACAACCTGCCCCCAGGACAACTTCCAAAGGAGGCAGCTGCCAGGCACTCCCTGAGTTCACACCCAAAGGGGAGTAACCAGAGTCCCCTCAGTGCCTGACCAGAAATGTCACCTAGCCAATAACCAGCTCCTCAAGGAGGAGAAAGACAAAAAAGGTGTGGTGACGAAGTACAGTGAGAATGGCCCAGGAACGGGAAGAGGCAGGAAAACCCTCTTACTCTCTGGGAGGGCAGGAGAGAGCACCAGTTTGCACTTGGCCTCCTCTAAGTTCCAGTTTTAAATAGCAATATTTGATTTTTCACCAAGAAAAAACTTACTAACAAATACTGTCTTTTAAAAGAGAGATATGAAGTTCTATTACAAAACACTTACTCTTGAAATGGCTTTGACTTTGCCAGCCAAGATTCAAAACAAGTGCGGAAATGGGCAGTCTTCGGGGCCTGTGTCAGACAGCAAGGGCCAGACCTAAGTGAACAGCATGCAGAGTGGCCACTGGCTGGCCCTGGAAATGGGACAGAAGCACGCTGAATGCCACATCCCAGCCACATCCAGGTGTGGGATGATGAAAATCAGCCCCTGAGAATGCCTCGCACCAGCTCAAGTTCATACACCTTTTCACGTGCTGTGCCTTTTCAACACTAAATTCTCCCTTTAACACGTAAAATATAAAATGCCTTACAGGTGTTAGAACCAGACGGGACCCCAGGTGTTAAGCGTGGGAAGAGAAAGTCATCTTTTTTTTTTTTTTTATAATTTTTTTTTCCCATCACAACACACAAATGAATTTTCCATCCAAAATACACTGTGCAATGGCTCAATCAAGCACGTCATCTTAAGTGCACTCACTACAGTGAGATTTAAGGAAAAACTACAGTGGAAATAGAACTGTTCGCCTTCATTTCAAAATGAATCCAAACAAAGCCAAGCTGAGCTAAGAGACGATGTGCTGGGAGTCCCTACCCGCCTTGGACAAATGAACTACAAGGTCTGAATGTCACCTGTTTCCCATCACGTGTGAGCACATTAATGAAGCGCTCTATAGGGGTGAACTCAAAATCACGCAGCACTGGAAGGGAATGCAGCCCCAACAGGCCAGACCAACAGAAAGAGCTTTACCCCGGGGACCCTCCCACAGAACCCAGCCTGGTCCCAAGCCACAGGCCACCCCCAAGGCTCCCCATCAGCCACTGTGGCTCCAAGGGTTTACTTACCCCCAATATTTGCTATGGACTCTGGCCCGATAAGTTGATTTTCAAATAGCCTTTCTGCCTCTCGTAACTTCGTATTTGGTTGCAAAACACCGAGCAAAAGAGGAGGTTCTTTGAAGCTGTAAAATAATGCAATCACAGGGACTTGTCTGTGAAAGTACACACGGAGAGAATGCTTACTGGGGACCTAGTGCACAAACACAGATAAAAGTGGGCAAACATGACCTGCTACATCCCCAGTTGCCAGAAACACACAGGCTAAGAAGAGACCTTGCAGAGGGGTCGGGTGGCGGTGGACAGGACACGGCAGCAGGACACAGCACCGCGAGTGACCTACACGGGGTAGTCCCAGACTCATGTCTGGAGACCTCTCTGAACACGCCAGGGTCACTGGAGCCTGTGAGCCGTGGCAGGCTGGGGATGGGGTGCACTGTGGTGACATAACACTGTTAAGGGTGCACTCGTGCTCTCTCTCCTGCTCAAGGAAAAAATTAACTTTTAAAGAACTGAAAAGCTATCTGAAATATCAGAAAAGGTCACGGTACAAAATAACTGCCAAGGTGAGCATGGCTGATGTGAGGGTGCACGGTCATCAGGCACCTGAGGGCATGCCAGAGGATGCACACCCCCCGCCCCACCAAGTCCCGGGCAGGCAGACCTCCTGTGCCCATCCAGCGCTGAGAAGGAGGGGGTGATATCCAATCTCACAGGGGACGGCCTTGCCTCCTGCTTTACAGAGAAGGGGAGGAATGAGGGGACACTGCCCGGTGCCCACAGCCTCCACACGTAGCCCAGCACAGGTGCTCTGTCTGCTGTCCTCTGGGCCCACTGAGCTCTCCCTGAGACTGGAGCAGTCTCCACTGGCCCTGGGTCCCTTCCCCTCACACGGACACAGTTCCAGAAACTTCCCTCTCTACTCATCCTTCCCACCCATGCGCAAACACATCTCGTCTTGGGCCACCAGTCACCCTCCTCCCTACATCCGCTGCACCGACCCTGGCCTTTCCTGCTTCTTCCTGGTCCCCTACAGACCTCTCGGCCCAGCAGTCCATATCTGCTCACAGTCCTGCAGCGGCCCCAGTCTGGGTGAAAACGTGCTGGGCTCAACTCTCATCTCGGCAGGGCCTCCTCCAGAGTGTGAGGAGGAAGCAGCAGACAGGCGGCACGGAAAGTGACAGCCAGGCGCTGAGCGTGCACGCCACAGCACTCGACCACCCCTGCACTGGGTCCCTGTGCCTGGCTGCAGGCCCTATACACAGCAAACCCTCGAGAAGTGCTTGTGACTCAAACTGCTCGCGCACCGTCCCTGCCCACAAGGAGCCTGAGGGGCATCTCAGCAGGGAGACTGGAAGACAATTTACGTCACAGAATGCCAAAAAGGGCCCCAACTCCTGTGGGCAGGCAGCGGAGTCAAGGACGGGTGGCAGGAAGCCCAGCGCAGGCCCAGCAGGGCCCGTGGACATTGAGAAGCCAGAGATCTCCGGCTAGCCCCCGGAGCGCTTCGGCTGGGCCACGTTTTCTGGCTTCCAACTGTACCCTAGTCTCTCCGTGACTTGCCTGACCATGGTCACTCTTTGGTCTTCCCTATGAGATCAGACTTCCTAAGTGTCACCTGTACATGTGACAGGTATGTCTCACACAAACACCCGAGGCCAAGACAGTCCTGGGGTCACCACCTCCTCGGCTGCTGGCTGAGGAGTAGCCGTGTCAGTCTGCATCCCACAGTCACTCTGGGAGAAGACCTGGTTTCTATCCAGAAAAACACAATGAGATTATTATGTAAGGCCAGCCCCACGGCATAGCAGTTAAGTTCTGTGCATGGGAGGCCAGCAGGTGGCATGGTGGTTAAGGGCGACTGTGGTTCAAGTCCCAGACCTGGTGGTTTGCTTTCTCCCTTTCTCTCTCTCTGTCTCTCTTTCTCCCTCTCTTCACTCTGTCCCTCTCTGGTCAAATTAAAATAAATAAATAAAGTTATATAAAAATTACTCTTGGGAACCACCAGTTAGCGTAATGGCTATGTCGCTGGACTCCCACGTAGTCGACCGTGGTTCGTGTCCCAGACCCAGTGGCTTAAAACTCACGCCGGGCACGTGTGCGTGCGTGCCCAAGATCCCGAGAGGAGAATGGAGGAGAAGGGATTGCAGCGTGACCATCCCCCCGGGGGGTGATTTCTCGCTTTCTGTCTCTATGTCTCTCTCTCTCTGTCTGGCGAGCACATGCACCTTATAGCGACAACCTCTCCAAAAAAAAAAATAATAAAATAATTCCTAAAAAAATAAAAAGTTCTGTGTATGGGAAGCCAGATCCCATGTAGCACCCAGAGACTTGAAAAATATGCCACGTGCATGTGTGTGTATGCCCTACATCCGGAGAGGATGAAGAAATGGTGAAACAGGATTGTGGGGTGACCATGCCCCATTGGGGATGCTTCCTCTCTCCCTCTCATGAGCATATACACTTTCTGACACTTAAAAAAGATTAATCTTTAGAGAAGAGCATGGCTATTCTAGGTGTTTTTTCAAATATACTCATGAATTAAAGTAAAATTTAAGGTTAAAAAATGCTGAGTGTTTTAGAGAACAGATTCTGCTGCTATAATTCTATAGACAAACAGGAAAAGTACAGTAATTCTGCTAGCAGAGAAAGCCTGTAACAGCACACGTTTCATTCCCAGGAAGAAACTGGAAGACACAGAAGATAATCAGGAGCAGTGACAACCTTTATGGGGGTCAGGGACATCAAGGAAAATAGGAACACAGGACGTAAAACTCAGGGGTTGAGCATCCACACACCTGACCAGCAGTGGAGACAGAACCTCGGAGCTGGCACTCAGGAAGGCTTAGGGAGAGGTCTCCGTGCAATCCAGGCCATTCTGGTCTCTGCAGTTGAGACCTGGACTGACACAGGCTTTCCTGTACCCGTCCCAACCACATACGGCGTACGGACGGCCGTCACTCTACTCTTGTCTCACCACCTGTCAAAGGAACCCTGAAAGACACTGTCGGTGCCCTGCGGAAACCAGGACATCATCTATGGTATGTCTATGACATTCCTCTAACCTTCCAAGACGGAGAGGGAAGCTGGCTTTGCATGGCAGATTTTGCAGGTCCCTGGCAGCTGGATGACTTCACTGTGCTTCTCCCACTTCCTTGCCCGCTCACCTACTCCCCAGACAGAACTTGCCCTGCAGCCTTCCTGGAGGAATTCCTGGCACATCAGGACCAACAGAGTCCATGCTCCACAACCAGCAGAGTCCCCAGGCTTTTGTCCATGCTCCATCTCGGGCCCTGCCCCCATCCTGGCCCACCGTTCGGTGCCAAGTGTGGTTTAAGCTATGGGGCAATCCAGCACCCTGAAGGCAGAGTCTCAGACGCTTCCGCTGCCCACTCCTGCCGGCCAGGGCCTACTCCTGTTCACCTGCACAGTCTGCGCTGCCCGGTTGGGGACAACGGCAGAGCGAGGTCAAGCACTAACTTCCACCGAACAGGCACTTCACTCGCTTTGTGTCTGAAGACAGCTGTGAGGAAGCCTGGCGGTGCTGTCAGCGCCATCATCCCCAAGCTCAGCTCATCCAAGCCCAGAGCTCTGAGGGTGGCCCGCGCCCTGTCTCCAGAGCTCTGCAGTGACTCGCACTCTGATCCTTTGCACAGTCACCTCTCAATCAGGTGACAGGAGGTCCCTGGCAGCTGGATGACTTCACTGTGCTTCTCCCACTTCCTTGCCCGCTTACCTACTCCCCAGACATAACTTGCCCTGTCTGACCTCCAGTTCTCGCTGGCCACGGGTCCTCTCAGTTGCTGGCCAGGGTCACACGCCCTCCTCCTGCTGCACCTCCTCACCCTCCTCACAGAGACAGCGCCGTCCCTAAGGGCATAGGTTCCAGGCACGAAGCTCCAAGCCGTCTTCTGCCCTCACTTCCTGTCCCAGAGAGCTAGCCCTGCTGTGCTCCCAGTCCCCCACTCCAGATACTATCCTCCCTGTTGCCAGAGCCAATTGGGTTTTCCGAGAAGGCCCAGGTTGGTTTCTACCAGGGATGCCCCAGCCGTCCTTCCATGTTGAGGGGGCCAGCAAGAGGGGCCCCCAGCATGTCAGGGGAGCAAGAGGGGCCCCCAGCATGTCATGGAGATGGTACTCAGCATACCCTTAGGCCTCCGAGGCCCTGAGGACCCACCAGCACACCAGAAATGCGGGCACCAGCGCTCCGTGATGGCACAACCTTGCAGAGCCGAGTACATCTCCAGGGTGCTGTGCTTCTGCCAATGGGAAACCCAGCAGCGTGCACCAGCCTGAGGGCAGGGGCGTCCTGAGCTTCTGCCCCAGCTGGGAACCTGCCTCGAGCTGCTGGGCACAGTTTAATGAGCAGACTCCAACACACAGCCCTAACTTCCATTTAGAAAACGCCAGCTCATTACTCAGTTACATGTGTTATAGTCTCTGTAACTACACATGGCTCTTACCTGGACGTTGTAAAGCCTTATGAGGACGAGTTCATCTAAAATAAGCCTCGGCTTCCTGGTGCTTTATAGCCTGTGATCTTACATTGACCGTGCAGAGAGGAGAGGCAGAGAACCCTACCCCGTCTACACCTCAGCCCAGGGGCTGCAGGGGGAAAAAGAGCTGGCCTCATGGCACAGCAGTAACGTGCTGCTCAGGAGAAGCCAGAGCTCACCTGGCAACTCCAGTTCCAACCCCAGGCCCACTCAGCCAGGCGTGTGAGTACCTAGGACCCAATGGGCTGGAGAAGCAGAAAGGGACTGTAGTATGGCCATACCCTGTCGGGCACGCTGCTCTCTCTGTCCCTTGTGCATGTGTTCTACAATGAATAAAGAAAATAAACAAAACTCCGATGGCTTCATCCCCATCAGTAGCTTCAAGGAGAACCAGCCTGTGTGGCCCTCCTGCAGCCAACTCTGCACTGAGGTCCTGAGCCATCTCCCCGATGAGAGCCCAGCTCCGCACCACTATGACAGCGAGTGTGGGTATGTCCCATGGGCCCGAGTGCATGCTGCTTCCTTCAATTTATAATAGACTGCACTCAGAGCCCTCCATGGGGAAAGACAACTTCAGAAAAGTAGAACATTAATTACAGATTATTTTATAAACCGCTACTTATAAAGCTTAGGTAACTTAATCTTCATTTGTGTATGCAAGTACTACTTCAAGTGAATTATGATGAAATATCTCTAGTACTTATATTTCTCTCATTTTTGGTTTTTGTTTTTGGTGTGTGTAGGTTTTTTGGTTTTGTTTTTATTTTTAAGGTTTTTGCCAAAGGGCACATGCACTTTCCTAAGGGGGGGGGGCAGTGAGATTGAAAGAGAAATTACCTCCCGGGGGGATGGCCATGTCACAATCCCTTCTTCTCTATTTTCCTCCTGGGATTTTTGGCACATGTACATGGCGTAATTTTCAAGCTGCCAAGTCCAGTACTCAAACCACAATCAGTCATGTGGGAGTCTAGTGCTTTAACCACCACACCACCTGCTGGCCCCAGTCTGTGCAGTTTTTGAAACAATGACAATACCATGCATATATTTTGGGCCACAACAAATTCAACATAAACACCTGAATACTAAAAAAGTCATGAAGCTGTGTTTCTCACAACTTACCTTTCAAGCCTGACCGACTTGATCACTCTCCTTCCCCCAGAACTAACTTCGGTCCATTACACGCGTGGCGGCACAGCCCCTGTGAGGACGGGGGACAGCTCACCTGAGAGGCTGCGGGTCTATGGGAGACTCCAGTAGCATCATGGCCCCGAGCAGGGGGACAGCGAGGGAGACGGCCAGCATCAGGAAGGTCATTCGGAAGACTCTGCCGCTGAAGGAGCTGCGGGGAGAGAGCGCAGGAGCAGTCAGCGCGGCCCCTGAAAGCCCTTTCTGCAGGCGCAGGGCGCCCTCTAAGTCACCCCCTGCAAGGTGCGACCTCTGGGACTTGTGACTAAACTCTGGCACTGTTTGCTGGAGTTGGCAATCATGCTTTGGTTCTTTCCTGTCTGTTTTTAATCTTCCAGCCGTGGGGGACATGCTGATCTGGAAGATCTGGAATCCCCAGGGAGACCAATATTTTCTTCTTTCTTTCTTTTCTTTTCTTTTTTTTTTAAGGTTTTTGCCATAGGCATGTGCGCTTGCCAGAGAGAAGAGAGACAGAGATCGGCAATAGAGAGGAAAGTGAGAAATCATCCCTGAGGGGGATGACCATGACGCAATCCGTTCTCCTGCTAAGATCATGGGCACATGCGCACACAAATCCAGCGTGATTTTCAAGCCACAAGGTCCAGGACTCAAACCACTGCTGGCCATGTGGGAATCCAGCACCTTTACCACTACATTAGTGGCCCCTCTCTTTTTCATTTTATTTTATTTTGTTTTGTTTTGTTTTTTTGCTATAAGCCATGGGCATTCATCAGAAAAAGACAGAAAGGCAGAGAGGGAAAGTGAGAGCTCAGCCCCAGGAGGGATAGCCACACAGCAAGCCCTTCTCCTTATTTTCCTCCCAGGATTTTTGGGCACATACGCACTTGAGAGTCTCAAGCCAACAGTGCTCAAACTGCACATTGGCCCTGTGAGATCCAGCTGCCTTAACCTTCCACCATAAGCTGGCCCAAAGAGGGTAAATTTAAAGAACTGATGAACACAAAGAATAACGACAGAAACAAGTCCCAGTGAACACTCAGCTACAGAGAACGGCCTTTCTCAGCAGCCAGGATCTCCTGGGGCACTGACTCACAGCAGCAGCTCAGCCCTGTGTGTCCCTGAGACTCTGGGAACAGAGATCGAGAGAGGTTCGTGAAGCCACAAAGTACAACTCCCTGAGCCACCAATCCCAGATCGTTCTGCAGGTCCTGCCTCAGGGATTTGAAAGGAAACCCAGCTCTCCCACCTGGGGGGAAAGGACTCTGCCCGTTACTCACACCGCCTCTGTAAAGTTCCAACACCGCGTCCTCATCCCCTGTGGCCTTCAGGAGACCTGAAATCTGCTCTGAGAAACTGGGGTGAAGTTGGGGACAAATGGCCAGTAGGCTCTAAATCATCTCCGAACCCACCTCACATGCATTATTTCTCCTCTGGCAAACAAGTGAGAATATTGGGTCTCTTGAAATTAAATAAAACTCATAGGAGCATTATTTTCTTTCATAAATTGCATTTGAATTTAAACACTTTACATAAGATTAACTTAAAGCAAATAAAATCATGAGCTCCTAAGGTAGAAAATATTTTTCTACCAAAAAAATTAAAGTGGTGGGCCAGGTGATGGCACAGTGGAGACACAGCTGGACCCATATGGGAAGGTCCCGGCTTCCCTCCTGGGGCCTCCCTGTGCATGCTGGGCAAGTATGTGCCGTGATCGGGGCCGGCTCACATGAGGGGAGGATCATGGCATGTGGACCTTGATGGGAGTGCCTGTCTTTCTGACTCTCTCTCAGAAGGAATAAATAAATAAGCTTTTAAAAATATAAAATAGGATAAAATAAAAATGCTTACTTAAAAAAAAAAAAAAGACTCACACTTAACAAAACAGACTTGATTTGGGAGAATATTTTGAATTTTGACAGCAGGATCACCTTCTGCCCTGGGTATAGTGTAGCTACAGAGGCCTGGATGCCAGTCTTCACTTGCCCAACAACCAGCCAAGCAACTGCGGGCCAGTTTCTTCACTCCAAAAGCCCACAAGTTTCCCATTGTGAAACAGGGCATGGGGCAAGTGACCCCAGTGTCCTGCCCAGATCTGAACACCCATGGCTTTAGTAACTAATAAGAAATCTTCCTGTTTTACTGAGAAAGATAGAAATAAAAGACAAAGGGAAAGACAAAAGGGACAAGACGGGGTGGCCTTCAGAAAGTGTCCCGTTGCGGTCATTTTGACAATGCAGTGAAGAACATTTGATTCTGCCTACAACCCAAGGGGCAGGACACAGATTCTCCCCGGGGCCTGTAGGAAGCACACAGCCCTGCTGACACTTGGATTCTCGCACAGTGGGACTCGTCTGGGATTTTCACTACGGAACTGCAAGATAATAAACTGCGTCATTATGCCACTAAGCGTGTGGGAACTTGTTAGAGCAGACACAGAGAACGGTTTTTTGATTAAACTACCTCCCAGCACCTGGAAGGGGGCGCTGCTGCAACACACACCTGTAACTGTGGCAGCAGCTCTGGAATCAGGCTGTGCACGAGGATGGAAGAGCTTTGAGGAGGCGGACAGAAAAGGCCTAGACTTCCTTGAGCACACTGTCAGCAGAAATACAGACGTTAAAGAACCTGCTAGTGAGGTCTCAGAAAGGGGAGGAGCAGGGTAGAAAACATTTCTGGGGGACCAGCAGATGGCATAATGGTTATGTGCTAGACTCTCACATAGTCAAGCATGGTTTAAGTCCTGGACTCAATGGCTTAAAACTAACGTGAGGAACACATGCATGCATGCCCAAGAGCCAGAGAGGAGAATGGAGAAGAGATAGTGTCATGGCCATCCCCATGGGGGAGTAATTTCTCACTTTCTGTCTGTCTCTCCAACAAGCACATGTGCCCTACAGTAAGACTCTTACTTAAGAAAAGGGAAAAAAAGAAGAGAAGAGAAGAGAAGAGAAGAGAAGAGAAGAGAAGAGAAGAGACGAGACGAGACGAGACGAGACGAGACATACTGGGGCCAGCAGGTGGCAGTTAAGGCACGGCACTAGATTCCCACATGGTTAACGGTGGTTCAAGTCCTGGACCTGGTGGCTTGAAAATCA